CAGCTTGGCTTGTGTTATGATATATAGTAAGAACCATATGGGAAGATATACGATTTTATACAATAAAACCTTTTTTTTTTTTCATTAAATGGGGTAGAAAAATAAACAGCAATGGTTTGCTTTATTGTTATTTTTTGTTCAGTGATATACGAGGTTTTTTTAAGAGTCACTTTTGGTCGCAATTACTTTTGTTGTACTCTTGTACTCCATTTTCATTACCAACAGTGTTACACAGTATGACATTTATGGTGGGCCAAACCCACTGATGATTGTTTCCTTCATATGGATCATTGACCCAAAAGAGGGCTGGAGCAGAGATGGGGAACCCTGTTTGGTAACACACGTGAGAAATCTGGCAACATTTCTACAGATTCATTCAAGGCAATGGATACCCTGCATAGGATCCGCATGTGCATTAGGGGGAAAAAACCTGCTTTAATAATAAAAATAAAGGAACAGATTTCAGTGAAAGGACAAATGTTAACACTTTGCAAGCGAGAGACATACCTGGGTGTTGGGAGGGGTAGAAGAAACAGGGACAGCAAATGCACCCACATAATTCACAGAATTCAAAAACACAATTTATTTTTTCTTTCTCTCTCTGTCATAGGCCTTAGACATGCACATGAAATAATTGTGACAGGAATAAAGAGGCCCAGTCTCAGCCCTGACCCTGAATTAATGACTACAATTCAAAATGTCCCTGGAACAAGAACATCATTATTAAAGACATGAGAGGAAGTGTCTGTATATGGCAGTGTTACAGATGTTTAATTTGGTCCTATTGTTTCAGTGGAAATGAAATGTTTCTTAAACCTGGTTTTGTAGGGAAGCTTTCCTCCTATATTTACCGCACAAATATGGACATCCTTCCTGTGGAGATTTGCCACAGGCTTTCTGAAATTGGACAAATCATCCAGGCTTTATGGTTGGGGTTATCCAGGAGACACCCATGGTAGATTGTGATCATGGGAAGACAATCTGTGAAGCCAGCATATGCAGCATTCTGTGCATTGGCAGTCTAATGGAATGTTAGCTTTTAATGGGATGTTTGACTTCACATGAATTCAGATTTGTAATAAAACCAGTCAGGGCGGGGCAGGTGAAAAAAGATCGTGCTCCTAGTGCATCCTGACCGACAGTATGTACTGCAAGAACCTTTGCTAGGCTGCAAAGGTATGACACTATCATACGCTGGTTACCAGAAAAGTGGGACCAGTGGATTCCTCTCCCATTGATACCCCCTTCACACCTTTGCTGCTGTGCATGTGGGCTCTTGAATACTTAACAGCCTGCTTCAGTTGGAAGTTTGGAGAAAGCAGATATGGAAGCAACTGTGAGATGCCCCCAAACATACACTGTGCTTGTGCAAATCCTATTAAAATGCAGAAACACCCCACTTCTGTTTGCTAACTATAGTATAATACAAATTAGCCTGCAGTCTGTGTTAGTGCTATATCCTGCTTACATGCCAGCATTACTTAGTCCCAATGCATTAATGAGTAAGTGCAAAGATTTGAACAATCAGCATTTCCGTATTTGCATGCAAACTCTCATGCTGTGTAATTATACACAGCCCTGGCACTCAAATTAATTAAAGCTGATTTCTCTGTGACTGCAAACTGGTCATATCCTCAGCTTTGCCATCATATGAAGTCATCAGCCTGTATTCAATGTGATACTTTATGTCCCCAGCATTCTTAGCAATGCTAATGTGAAACAACTGTAAATGAGGATCTATTTTACAAAGCAAACTGATGTTGGCTGTTGGTGGCAGTTGTTAGTTGGAGTGTGTGTGCGTTTTAATTTGACAGTGCTGTGGGTAGAAGAGAAAGAAACAGGCTATTTCTATTGTGTTTGCTTTGTAATTATGCAAAGTAACAATGTAAACAAATTATGGCACATTGTTCCAGTAGATACCCGCCTACACTTGATTACAGATTACAGAAAACTTGTAACCAAAAAAGCCAAGTACAATGGAATGTTTATTTGGTGTGAACATACAATTAGTTTTTTACAATTTTATGTTAATTAAAATTCTGTGTGTATCCTCCCCTACCAAATAGCTTTCCATTTTCTAAAGGCACATCTCCTGCAATTCAACCAAACAACAAAGATATTACCATTAGAGTAGATTAAGATGCAGAATTCCCATATGCTAGAGATATTGGAACAAGGACAGTTCTTCATGAACAGCCCTATAAAGTTGACTGCTGGGATCATTCCAGCTTCTCTCAGCTAATTCGAATTTGCTCTTGCAAAAGCTGTTGAGAGTCAGATTTCCTCCCTTCGACCATTCAAAGCCACAGTCCTTTCCTGCAAAATGTTCTTTATTTTTCATAAGCCCTAACATCCAGAATGAATCTCTGAGCATACACAGAGTGGTTCGTTGAACTCAATCTAGTATTTGCTTCTAGGAACTCTCTTTGTGCGTATGTTCAGGCTCCATCTTTTCGGAAAGGGTCTTTGGAAATAAGCATGAAACGTCATTGCTCTCTGACAAACTCCCCTGTTCCAAGCCCCCTCACAATAACTGTACATCCCGGCGATTCTCTAAGGCTGCCTGAACACCTGGGGCCTTGAGACAAACGCTTCCAGTCCTCTCACCTCAACGTCTGGACTTTGCCCACATTCCAAGGCCTCCCCCTGCTCCCACTCCTCTGAGTCAGCTCAGCAGGTCTTGAGAATGCATGCCAAGAGCAACTGTCTTTCTCACGCCTATCAAACGCACTCCTTCTGTATCTAGTTTCCTTCCCAATGGCAATATCTCATTAAAATAAACCAGTAAACGTATGAGATGACTAGGGAATTTATCAAATCTGCCTGAATGTACATGACCATCAGGACTTACATGACCATCAGAAATAAGTATGCCATCCTTAAAAAAAAAGGGGGGGGATCTGTAGGAAAAAAAAGAAAGAAAAGAATCAGTTGCCCCCTACCAAACTACTGTCAAGCCAATCAAGTGTGCTGCACTATGTGACTTTATACTGTATGAGCCAACAATTCTCAGCCAGTTGCTCCAAGACAAGAATGGGCAATTTATAGGCAAAAACATCTGAAGAGTTGCAGACTGCTTTATGATACCCCTTGATGTTCTTGTCACTAGATAAGTTATCATTTAAAAGGCAAGGTACAGCTGCTAAAACGTATATCACCACCTATAGCCAACAGTAACATTGGGAATTCAGCAATAATGTTTAGAGTCACATTGGTAAAGGAAATGCACAGCCATGGGTGGCCAGCACTCAGCATTTCTCTACCCCTTTCTAATGTATTGTCCTGCTGAACACAACATGGCAGCATCCATTCTTTTCACTAAATGTTACCTGGAGGACAGGACTTGAGAGCTTTGAATTATGAACAGAAGTTTCCTCATCATCACCATGGATTTTCTATCACCATACAAGCAAATCTAAAGCATGATCTGCGATACAAAACCAGCAACAAGATGATTGTGCATGATGTAGTCAGGTGTTCTGCTGATGGCAATGGGGACAACAAATGCTTCAATAATCCATCAGTTCACCAACCAAAGGTTCTTCCAGCACAGAGCAACATAAACAGAGCAACTGGGGAAGAAAGCATTCATTCTTGCCCTCCACTGCAAAATCATAGAAAGCACACAAGATCCCCTTTCATTTGTGATGAGAGTTCTACCAAGAGGCCAATGGGAGAGATACCCTTTAATCTTTGCCTCTTCAGAGAAGCAAAGCATGGATTTAGTAAGATGCTTCCCTTTTGTTTCACTTCAGATCTGACCTCTCTGGTAGAAATTAGCAAGGCACTACATGGAGCAGCAGGGGCATTTAATTCAGCCCAGTCCATGCTTTCTTCATTCAGTGGTTGCCCTTCAAAATCCTGAAAGTTGATGGCATTTGTCTATAGCCAATTCTTTTGCCTAAAACATCCAAGATGTGTGCTGTGGAATTTAACTGTGAAATCTATACAGAAAAAGAATATATAAACTATGCACAAAAAAGATGCACACATCTGACAGTGTCACCTTATGTGTTTTATTTGGATGCTTCGAGACATGGCTCCCAGTAGCAACAATAGAATGAAATGAGGAACAAATAGCCAAGCTGGAAAGGAGATATTCACTAGCTCGTGGCTTCAGAGTTACAAACATTATTTTGAATGATCTATGCTACTCTGCCTATGACTAGCAGCAATAGGCTATTAGTTCCACAGTCTCTCTAACATTTATAAATGTTCAGTACACAGGTTCTGCCCCTCAGCTACCTTTAAAACTATTTATCTCAAAGTGAACAGCAATTCTACAGAAAGTAAAAGCCCATGCAGAGGAGGCTTCCATCATCTCCTTTACCATACATGGTAAAATGGTTTTTTAAAATCCTGCTACTTGGTAGCTTTATATACATAGCCAAGCTTCCCAGGGAAGAGAGAAATTGCTCCAAAGTGGTCTGCTCATCTGTGTTATTCTACCCATTGTCATGGTAAACTTAATATTACTGGCAGGGAACAAAGAAGCTTTTAAATGTGAAGGTTCTATTAAGGAGGTCTGACATGCTCAGGAATATGCTGGGGCCTGCCCCCAATGTTGCCAGAACTCCTGGCCCCCTCATTTATTTGGGACCCAGCACAGACGGGAGCAGAAGGCTTGGCTGTCATTTCAGGAAAATGAAAATGGCTCCAACTCTGTCAAGTCAGGCCATTTAGGCCTGGGGTTCCTATCAGTCTCACTGCCAGGCCAGCTGCTCACCCAGCAACTACCTGCCCACCGAGCCATTCATCCAGCAATAGTTTCAGAAGTATCAAGTTCACTTTCCAGCACAGTAGCCATTTTAATTTAAAATGGCAAGAGGAAACTGTGCCTACTCAAATGCCGTCGTGCTATGAATCGATCAGGCTCAGCACTCATCCAAATAATGGGTGAGTCCAATAGGAATGCAGTTAAAGGCAAAAGGTAAACATGATTTAATCAGTCCAGCAAGAAAGCAGTTCATGAAACACGTGCACTTACAGTACGGTATTACCTGGCAAGAGAAAGTTCTGGGACATGGACATCATCGCAGCACAGCCAGGAGTCCTATCGGAGAGCTTCCAGGGCCTCCCACAATGCTCAGCTGCAGTTCTTCACAGGGCTTTGAAGAGAAATTCCAGTCGGGAGAAGGTCTGTGTTTCCAAGAAGGCCTTTCTTCTTAAGGCATCTCTTCCTGTCAGTGGACACTGCTTCACCCGCCACAGTCCTAGCCACCACCCTCAGGTACCAGCATTCTTGGGGGATGGCTCAGCATTTCCCTCTGATTCAAGCTGCACTGCTTCCCTCTATTTGAAGGGGGAGTTCTGCAGCCATCTCGGCCAAGGGGTCAGCCCCAGTTCATGTCATTTGTAGTCAGATAACGAAGAATGGAACTAGCATGGCAATTGTGCTTTGTTAAATGTTTAATATGAAGTATCCGCTGTGGTGGGGCTGGGATGTCACAGACATGGAACTTCCTCCTCTGCTGTGGCTGGAGGAGTGACTGCATTGGTCAGAAATCCCACACTGGCACCAATGGGGCATTTCTTTCCACAAGCAATATCAGTTTAAGAGCTGTAGCAAAGGAGAAAGGTTAATTTCTTCCTTCATTCTACAATGCTGATAATTATCAGACTCTCCAGTTGATGACATTTCAATTTTTAAGAGTTAGCTTGTAAAGTATAAAGATAGATTAAATATCAGCACAACTTGCTTGCTTTTTAGGCCAGAGTGTTCTGGAGACACACGGATCAGTCCTTGACATGCCTGGGGAAGTCATGTAGGTGCTGAAGTGAACTTTGGTGATTTGGTAACATTCCTTTCCTCTCAGCTCATATTAGTTCTTGCCGAAGGATAGGTAAAATTCCTTTGAAAATGTCAGTAATGTGGGAGAACCCTGGAAGATTAACTAGGAGTTATCCAAATTAAAAACACCAAAAGCTATGGAAGTTAGCTTAGCAAACATTTGTAGAATCATTCAAGCTGAACAGAAAATCTTTTTAAACATAATATTTTTAAATGTCTTTGTTAAACTTTTTGTCCTTTTGAAATCCAAGACCCCCCCCCCGCTTTGCATTCCTTGAACTATCTCCCAAGGTAGGGAAGATATTTTGCACCCCCTTCTAAAAATCACTTTCTTTTTCAGCGGGAGCGCTGCAAGGAAGAACCAGGGCTCAGACTGCAATAAACATTTTTATGTGCTTAGGATCCTGTTTCCTAAGGACACATCTATTTATAAAAGTGGATGTAGGCACAGGGACCCCTTCAAGGATCACTGCCTTGTCGTGGCAAAGGGGCTTGCGTAGCTCAATGAAGCTATGAGCTATGCTGTGCAGGGCCACCCAAGCTGGACAGGTCATAGCAGAGAGCTCTGACAAAACGTGATCCACTGGAGAAGGAAATGGCAACCCACTCCAATATCCTTGCCATGAGAACCCCATGGACAGTACCAAAAGGCAAAAAGATATGAGGCCAGAAGATGAGCCCTTCAAGTCGGAAGGTGTCCAATGTGCTACTGGGGAAGAGCGGAGGGCTAGTACTAGTAGCGCCACAAAAAATGAAGCGACTAGGTTAAAGCTGAAAGGACACTCAGTTGCAGATGTATCTGGTGGTGAAAGGAGAGTCAGCTGAGAAAAGCCTAATGCTGGGAACAATGGATGGCAAAAGAAGAAGGGGACAGCAGAGAATTAGGTGGCTAGATAGCATCACTGAAGCAGTCGGCGTGAGCTTAAGTGGACTCGGGGGGATGGTGGAGGACAGGAAGGCCTGGGGGAATGTTGTCCATGGGGTCGCGATGGGTTGGACACGACTTTGCGACTAACAACAACAAGGCACAGGGGAGAGGAGGTGAAGCATATGTGGGCAAGGCCCCAACTAATCCAGGAGGATCAGATACAACAGAGATCATCAGGGCCCTGTGCTTTATTTCAGCAAGTGTAATGTGGTGGGACAGTAGGGTGGTGGGGCAGATGGCCTAAGAGATTGGAGCTCCTACTGGATCCCTCTCTAATTTTACCTTGCTGTTCCATATGAAAAAGAATGCATTGATTCATTGACATAATCAATACTATCTGAGTTCACACAGAAAGTGGCTGGCTCATTGATTGTACTGCCTTTGACACCAGAGAGCCAATGTGACTCTGGAGTGGGCAGAGTTCATAGTTCATTGTAGAAAAACTAGAAAAAATCATAATTCACATAACTGTGTTTCTATAGCTTGTGAATGATTAGATCACAAAGTGTAACTCTGTTCTTAATCAAGGGCAAGCTTTTTCACTTTAAATGTTATGAACTCACTGGGATAAGGTAGTTTGAAAGCCTGTCTGTCAGCTGAATTTTTGGGACAAGGGTTTGTTTCTGCTTTTTTGCAATCATGATGGCTGTGGAGAGCAGTAAAAACTGCTGTGGAGTCTACTGCCAAGGTTTTACACGAGGCACAAAGTTCCCATCAAAGTTGAAGCACAAGTAACAGGAATGCACTCAAAATATAAACAGTGAGTTTCCCAAATGCCTTAAAATCAGGAATGCTGATGACTTATTCCAAGGTTTCACAGTGAAGACATTGGAGTGGCAGTGAGGTAAAGATCTTGAAGCTAGGCTGCATTCAGCAGAAGTCCACAAATTTGTCAAATTCATTCTCTTAGAAGGCCACAGAGATTTGGGGTGGATAACTGACAACACTTCTAAGATCAACTGCAATTACAGCTGAACTACCAAAACCGATTCAGTTGCTTATACTCAATGGCTCACAATTCCAAAAAACAGCAGAATGAACCACGAAAAGGCTGGCAAATGCCACGCCACACTCATGCTATTGGACTCTCCCATCCAGCAGGCTTTAACGATTAAAAACACTTAGTGCAAAAGCTCACTATTCCCTTGTTTGAATGAGAATGGTAAATCACTAAAACATAATAAACAGCAAATGATAAAGTAAACCATGAAATTCTGGAAACAATAAAACATTAAATGAAGCAGCAGAATGCTCAAAGCCTCATCTTATCAGAGGTAAGCAAACAAGGGCCTTCCAAATGTTTTAAATGAGGACTCCCATAATTCCTTGCCAGCCTAGCCAATGATCAAGGATTTTAGGAGTTGTCATTAAACATGCTTACCAATGTATTTCATTACTGCTGCTTTATTAAGATAATGCCTTAAATGAATATATGGTAGGAAAACAGTTCTTTGAAATGGTAAAGTCTACTGTGGAAGAATACATACACAGGTATATCTCCAATTCTCATACTCTTTCTACCTCAAATCATGGGAAGACCTCAAAAAGTCAGTGTGTAAATTTGTACACTTGTGTGACATACATGAAGGGTGAGAGCAAACGCATGGAAATGCTGTAGGGTAACTTTGTTTACGAGAGAGAGAGAGAGAGAGAGAGAGAGAGAGAGAGAGAGAGAGAGAGAGATTAAAGCAAAAATTCTGTTCACATGTTCATCTTCCTTTCAAATTTATGCAATCAGGAGGTTTTCTGCTAAATCATTTGATTGTATTTAATCCACAGAAAGATCTTTTTAAAAGGCTTTAATATTGATTGCAATATATATCTATTTTTAATCCACCTCTTTAAATGATTATGGACTTTTTAACAATGTATGCAGTATCAAAATTAAGACTCAGAGGGAAATTTACTTTTCAACTAGATATTAAATTTAAATTGGTAATAACCCAATTTACACTAGTCTCTGTTTTGAAATCAAAACTTTCTTAGCAAAATCATTTAGCGTCTATCTAAAAGAGAAAAACACAGCAGGGCCTCCAGAAATGACGACAGATACCTCAGCATAAAAAAAGTCTTGCTGCATATACTGTAGGCATTTTAGGATCAAAGTAGAGAAGAAATTGAATTATCAGGTGATGGGTCCTCTTCCCAATGCTACCAAATAAAGGCTGCACCTCAGGAGTTACTGCTGATATCAGTATTGAAGCATACTTGCATGAATGAAATTCTCTTTTTAAAGCCCAGGCAATCTATGGAGATCTCGAGAGTATAAATTAGAAAGAGGAAAACCATCACTTCCCAGCTAAGTTTCAGTTCCTGAATGACTAAGCCCTCAGCACTCATTGCAAAAATACAAGCTTGAGATTGCAATCATGGAGTGAGGATGATAGGCAAGGAAGAACAAAGTAGAACCTCCTAAACATTAGTAAACGGAAAAAGGCCACACTACCTGTGTGGTTACCAGCTCAAGCACCTAGTCCGGATTAACTGGCGCTGCCATTGTAAACTTAATGGCAGGGAGGGCATGGAAGTAATCTTTTTTGATAGCAAGACATTGAGAGCTATTCAACCAATTACACAGAATGAAGGGTTGACTTAAGAGGGAAGAAAACAGGAAATACCATTTCAGAGTGCAGGAATGGGGTCCTATATTATTGAAAATCTCCCATCTAAAAATCTGCATGCACATAATAAACTATGACTCCTAAAAGAGGCCTGAGCTAAACCTTTCCTTCTGATTGCTGCTTAATTTTACTTATGCTTGGCATTGTATGCGTGTTTTAAAGAAAAACATTAAAAATTACCTGCCTTCCAAGAAGAAGTGGCACAAGTGAAAAACACTTCAATTCACATGTCATGCCAAGTCACATGGATAATCTACAGTTTAATCTCATGGATAGATTAATCTAGAGTTTAGTGATACCTGTCTGATAGGAAAAGGGTGGGGGAGGTGATTAGGAACAAGGGGAATGAAAGAGAAAGAAAGGAGGAGCGAGAAAGCTCCCTTTTCAACAAGAAAAGGAGGGGAGGGGCCCAAATCAGATGGCACAAGGTATGGGGAAACAGGCATGTAGACAGGAGGGCCAAATACTTCCTGATCGTTTAATTGACAAGCTGGGCAGAACAAAATGAGCCTATTGTAGCCCACCAAGGGCAGGGCTCATTGGGAAGAAGGGCCGGTGTTGGGGCAGCATGGAGTAGGCGGGCGGAAAGAATGTAACTCTCAGTACCCTATTAGCCAATCAGGGGAAAGGAGGAGGGAACAAGCGGCTGGACGCAGGATTCAAAAGGGGTGTGTGAACATGTGATCAGGTGAACAGAACAATGGAAAGGGAAGCCATTCCCTTCTGTTCCCTTTATTGCAGTAAAGTTCTAAAAAGAAGTCTCTGCCTGCCTGGGATATTTTTCTCTTCCGACGGAAAGAACGTTTTTTTAACATGTCCATTCTGAGGATTCAAACTGAGCAAATTAAACCTGCCATGCAAATCCAGTGCAGGTGGATTGTTGCTGTGTTTAGTAAGTCACCCAGAACCCCTGTTCTGTTTTAGGGTTGTGGGTGATTTGTCATGCTAGGTTTGCACACTATGACAAACCATAGTCATGGCTTGAATAATCTAAAATGTCTGGCATGCCCCACAACCCAGCATAGCTTAAATAAGCTGGGGTGATTGTGCAAATCAGGTCACTTTAACTCTTTTAATTTAATAAATTTATTAAATGCTTTATAAATAATTTAACTAGGCATTACAGCACACATAATCGCCACACAAAAATAAGATAGATCCCAATAAAAACAATAATCTGGAACAAACTACCCATCTGCCTGGTGCTGGAAAATTTCTCCTCCTATTCTTGCAGTCCCAACAGGCAACAAAATGGGCAGCTTTGAGTGCTTGATCAAATGGTATCCTCGGCAACTGTGCTGTTTGCCTTCTTGAGTCAAACGTTGTGCACATCTCCAGTATAGCTATCTCAATGTGCCATGAATAAAGCAGTCTGCTTCAAACTGCTACAAGACTCTTGCTTGTTTTTCCTGCAATTGACAAGCATGCCTGCCCTCCCAATATTAGCAGAACTTGGAAGCAGATGCCAGTCTCAACTGTGCCCCAACTGATATTGCTTACAAGAAACCAAGGAGCTTTGCTGGACTCTACCACAGAAGCTGC